CCATGTATTTTTTATATAGATTTGTGCTCTTTCTCCCCTTATCTAATTCGTTCACGACCCCTTCTTGCACGTATAAATGCCTTAACCACTTGGTTTTTATAAAGAATACGCCCTCTAAAAAGTCTTCAGCTCGAAGAGTGATCAACCTTTGGTCCACTTCAGGACATTTTTCGTAGAAATCAACACATGTAAAGTGGGTATTGGTCTCAAACTTAGGCCCCTACATCACGACTTCCTTGATATACAAACCGATGCAATATTTCACTTAATAGGGACCCTAGTGATTTGTCTCGAAGCTTAGACCAATTCCCAGGCCTTCGTTCTTTTATAAAACAGTTCCCTGGTCAGTAACTGATCTCGACCTTTTAATGAAGACGTGCCTCGGCGTCCATTAAGGTCAATTAATTCTATTCCCCTTATTGATCAGCGTTCCACGCGGATCACGGCTTAATGTCGTGTATTAAGTTTAATCCACTCTTTCCGAGAGCGACATGGACTGGACATCTATAGCTTTAAAAGGCCATTCGTAATGCGCTATGAGGCTATTTCGAGTATTGATTACTAAGGAAAACAGAGAAGGTCTTGAACTTTATATGCTTTTATTAAATGAGTAGCGATTGATTTAATGGGTAGCTAAAATTCATGTTTACGCTCAGGGACGACAGCAAATAGGGCAGGCAAGCTGGGATTTTAGAGCCAGAGGTGACGCAGGCCAGTTTTTACCCTTTTTAATAAATCTTCATACATGCCCGCTTTTTACGGCTGAACTTGAACTTCATATCAGTGGTGTTTGACTGAAGATAATGGCGTCGTTCATGGGTAATAAACTGTGTCAAATTCCCTCTATATGATACAGTAGAATCGCAGTCAAATATGAGGGTAAAGATAAAGTTCCGTGACCTTGTACATATCATACTGTGTTATGAAAACGAAGTAGCTGACACGCGTATGGGACATGACGCTCAAGATAACCAAATTTTGTCGCGTTTGTTCAATATGTATAGCAAACCATCCTTTGCTGATTCGTCTATTTTTTATTTATTTATTTATTTATTTATTTATTTATTTTATTTTTTATTATTATTATTATTATTTTTTTTTTTTTTTTTTTTGAAAAAAAATTGTTTAGGGGAGAAAATGTCACTTGCACCAAAGGAAATGAGAAATAAATATTTATTAATTCTTGGCGGATACGTACCCGACCGACTGCAGCAAATTAATTAGGCGTGCATGTCTAAAATGTCAGTGTTAACATTAATTTCGGACTTTCAACGTCGTCCTTGTCCTTGAACAGTTCATCTTTCTCTGTGAGGTCAAGGTGGGCATTATATTTGATCAGAATTCCTAGAAAACAGTGGACTTCAACACTTTAATTTGCTGTGCGATAAATCGGACCTCGACTCTACAGAGTTCTGGCAGGCAAATTGTTTTTAATTCTTTCCAGGCTGATACCAAATAAACGGTCAAAAGGATAGAGGGTCAATTGTGTGTTTTAAATGACGCTTAGTTAATGTCTTTTTAATTACCCCATGTTGCAGCTTCTGACATAAGAAGCGGATATTGTAACCCTTCATTTTTATCCAGATACCGAAAATAAGTTTTTTACTTGCCTCTAATTATTCAATAATCCATCTATCTTGTGTGCTCAGGTAAAGGAGAAAATGAGGAACCGATATTTCAATGTTTCCCAAAATCGCAATTATGACGTCACCGGTAAAATGACGTGTGAAAATATTACTTAATTTAGTCATTAAACACTGAAGATTTATATATTGCCCCAAAATTTATGTAAGACAGGAAATAAGGAGCTTTGGGCAAAGGGTGACAATAAGTATTCTGTGCTACACTGCATAGCAAAACTGGGACATTCTGATATATTAAACTTCAGTATGTATCATTTAAATTGCTCATTTTCGTATTTACACACACTGGACAATAGAAGTGTCACCCCTACTGAACCGATACTTTGTAGGAGATAAATGACTGTGGAATCATATGCTCCTGGTATCATTTTATTAACATCGAATTTCTCAAAAGAAACGGTTCTGACTGAACAATTCAACTGTATCGATATTCTGACATTGCTTATATTCCGCCTCTTTAGATTAATACCTTTGATTACTCTGATTCAGGGGGTGACACTTCTATTGTCGAGTGTGTGTACCTCTTCATGCACATACTGTACTAGTATATACATTACTTCAGATATTTATGGACATCTCAAATGGCTGTGTGCTATAGTGTTTGCAAGATGTGAGAGATAAATTAATTGATAAATAAATTTGGTAATCAATGACATTATGGGAGCATAAGTCGCATCAAAAGTTCTAAGGAACAACAAATGCATGATCTTACGCTGAATATCTTCAATGCAAAAAAAAAAAAGAGGCAATTCAAGCCAAGAGCGCTGCTGGGCCATTTCATTTCGTTTGATACATTCCAAAATGAAATTGATCCAAAGAACTGTTAAATATGACTAGAGAGCAAAATCATTACCGATTTTATTGTCAGATTTGCAATTTATATCACAGACTATTGGCAAAAACGACGTATCAACAATCCATCATGGCGACACGGGCCGCATTAACGTTAACTCTTGCACCGAATACGGCTCTTATTTCCGAAGTTCACGTCTCAATTAAATGGCAAAGGAAGGAGCAAGGGAATAAACAGGGGGTTAATCAGCTGGAAACAACATAATTTTCGCCATTTATTTCCCAATCCAGGTCTCAAATTAATTCTGAACGTGTTTCGATTATTGACTAGAGTGTCTGTTTTCGATTCTTCTGCCGAAACAGGCGGCGTCTGATAGGGTTGGTGTTGCAAACACTTTCGATCAATTGTATGAGAATACATGTATGAGAGAGAGAGAGAGAGAGAGAGAGAGAGAGAGAGAGAGAGCAACTTGCGACGAGGATATGGATAAGGATTAAAATTATGTGGGCCTACTTGAAGTTGGAAATCTGTTAACGTAATAGAGTAGCCAGGATTAGCTCTGTTGCATTTGAACATTTTTCAATTCAATTTCTTCAATTCAATTTATTAAACCTTTGAGCCTTACGGCTCATCAGAATGTAATACAGTGAAAATATAAAATTATATCTGCTCAACTATCATGACCATTACTTATTTTTCAGTATGGCCGCCAATTTAAAAATAGAAACTCCCAGAAGTCGACATAAAATCTTTTATTTGTGCCTCTAATGAATGTATTTCCAGAGAGAAATAAATAAGTCTAATTAAAACCATCTCCGACTTTGATTTTTCTGTTCATCGTGTTTTTTCATTAGCCATGGTCTTAAATTATCTTCATCAGCTTGTTTGACATTCAACTAATACTTGGTGAGGGCTTGACCCCTCTTAGTAGTCGAGTTGCCATTCCCCCGGGCCACATAGTCGAAACATGCTAGGTTATTCAAAGAAAGGATAATATTCTTTGGGGTAAAAAAGTAATTTTTAGCTTGGCTTCTATTATCAGTTGCTTCTTCCAGGGCATTGACCACTTTTCATAATCCAATATGAATAAAATGAAATAAAAAACATTCTTAGAGGTTCAAATCATAGGCTACTTTATATTCTTCATTTTAGGGTCGAATCGCATGTTTATGAATACAGAGGTGCATATTGTGATTATTTCTTATATCTCAGCAAGTTATACTAAGGGTGCTTTCCCAGAGATTTAGAATGATCTAAAGATTAAGTTTAAGATCGACCTAACTCCCTGGGAGTTCACGCTAAATTGCAGTCAGCCGAGCGGGCACCATAGTTAATTACCCCCTTACAGCTTTTAGTAGGCGGGACAGACGCTTAAGCCGGTCAAGCTGACAGTAATCTAGTGAGACTCCCCACAGGGATAGATCGATCTAAAAATCTATGGAAATGGGGNGAGATTTAGATCGATCTAGAGATTAAGATTTAGATCGACCTAACTCCCTGGGGGTTCACGCTAAATTGCAGTCAGCCGAGCGGGCACCATAGTTAATTACCCCCTTACAGCTTTTAGTAGGCGGGACAGACGCTTAAGCCGGTCAAGCTGACAGTAATCTAGTGAGACTCCCCACAGGGATGGATCGATCTAGAAATCTATGGAAATGGGGTGTAAGCCACAAGTGACGCATTCCCTTCCCCCTTACACTAACAAGAGGTACAAAAGGAAATATCGTGCAGTTTCTCCACACTGGAGTGCATTTGTTATTGAAATATTTCGAGAGCAGTGTTGTCAACACTGCATGACATTATGAGAGAATAGAAAGCGTGAGAGAATCTGCTTAATGTGATTTAACTTTTCTAAGATACATGCTGTTGAGAAAGAAATAACTATTAACTGTCACGCAAAATGTGACCCGTTTCCCACTGCTGTACAACAAATTATAATTTGACAGAACTTAAGAAAAATCAAGCACAAAATATCTAATTCAATGAACAAAAACAAACAAACAAAAAAAAAACGACTGTTTTATATCTTTTAATGTATTATACCATATTAAGCAGCAATTTTCTTTTGCTTTTCTAATTACAGAAATGTTTATCTTCATATGTTTTCATATGCACAGTTCATAGGTTATTTTTGTAAACGACGTCAACGGCATTAACATTACAAAAGGTTGAAGGTGCAGTGTGTGACAACCGTGAATTTATCAGTGGTAACAAATTAAACAAGTTTTCAAATCAAAGGTGGCAGTGTCAAGTACGGAAACCCTTAAAAGGAAGTAATTCCTATTTGAAATGCTGTCACCTGAATGCCAAATGTTCAGCAATATTCATGTAAGTGTCAAAGACAAGAGGGTGTACAGATACATGTACCTGTATAAATAGCAGCTGTTTTGACGTGGGCTATTATTTTATCATTTGACAGCGCCCCACATTGCCTCAGAGAGTTAAGGTACTGGCAGATAGATAAACATAATTCTCTGCGAAATTTATATATCTTCTCTATAATGGGTATAACAGGGTTGACATTTCTCATGACCTGTCTTCTCTCACTAACCGCCGTCCAAGGACAAGTGGGACGTCCATGTACAGCTTGTGTCAATTTCAGTCTCGGTAAGGATTGTTCATAACATTATTAAGCCTATGTTACATTTGTTATTTCTTTCCTATGCACTTGTTTACATTGATAATAAAAGATAACGTGTTCCGGAGTTTGAGAAATTATTTATATGCTGTAATGTTGTACTTTCCATGGCTTCCTGTGTCTACCAGTAAGTTCTGCTGTCATCCTAATATTGCATTTTTTTCGTTACCAGTCAATAGTACAACCACCTGTGTTAATATCAGGGACCCTTGTGACCCAAATTTTGGACAGCCGTGTCGCTATCCTTATCGTTGTGTGTAAGTGGTTTAATCAGTTGTAGACAAACTGTTTAGAGACGGTTATTAAATGTTAAGCAAATATTCTGCGTGAAATATTGGGATGGGTACTTTGCGTTTTAGCTTTTGTTTGAATAAATGGTGATTGTTATTTATATTGATACAGCAATTGTTAGTAATTATCAATAAACTTTGCCAGACTCTGAACTGTGGTGGTGGGGTCAACATGTCGTCTGCCGTTTTATTATTATTATTATTATTATTATTATTATTATTATTACAGGTCTGGTTGCGACTGCAGCGCCATTTGTGCCCTGGGTTATTTCTGCTTTGACCCAAGCCACATTTATGGGAAATAACCAGTGGAAAAAAAAGAAAATGTAACTGCAACTAGACCGCGTTCAAAAACATGACAAATAGATAGGCGTTAATGTACAATGTACATTTCATCACACACAGGAGACACTATTTTGTTTTGTATGGGAAAAGATATCGGTCACAGGACTGGCCATTTATTATTCTGTGGCAGTCACGTTCTATAAATAATACATTTACAGGCACGGTGCTTTCTAGAGACGGAAACGGAATAATATTATAAGGCTGTAGCAAAACATAGCCGAGATTAAAAAATAAGACGATTAGAATATATATATATATATATATATATATATATATATATATATATATATATATATATATATATATATATATATATATACCGTTTACGTACGGCTTGCATTGCTTTGTTTCACATATTCCACGCTAGTGAAAATGTCTAAACACTACATTTAAGCATATGTTTAATTTAATAATGGTATAGAAATAGTATACTGCTTTGTATAAATTCTCTCTTTTTTCAATAAAGATTATGTGTCCCATGTCAATTTTCTCAAAGCGTGTTTTTTTATTAATGTAATTCTATCGCTGTCTTCATGTTTAATTTATAGTAAACGCTTTTTTTAAATATATTAATCAAAATAGATAAATGAATAGATTAAGGAATGAATGCATAGATCTTTTGATGGGTTAATTGACTGTGATTGAATAAAGGAACAAATGATTTCTAGATTAAAAAATGCATAAAAAAACAAATAGATATGTGAAGGGATAAAGAAAGGTTAATGCATTGAAAAAGAAAATAGACATTAATTAAATGATACGTTGATTATGATCAGAATAATGAATGGGAAAGGAAATGGAATATTTATGTGCTGCTTTGGGTAATATAATTATGCCGGTATTTGAAGTACCCGTAGTCAGGAGAGGCGAGCTGGATGTACCATAAACAGTCATTTCTTACCCTGCAGCATACTAAGTTTTCCCACCTTTCAAATTGTATTGCCTCAGGTACTATCCTCACTTTTTTAAAGAAATATACAACTTACCGCCTTTTTTAGCACTAGTATTATTAAACGACCCATTGCCGACCTACTTGGTTGTAAATTTTGTTGCATTCAGAATTAAGGGATGGCATTTGCTCATAGTTTTTTAGTTAATAAAATAATAGATTAATTGTCCACACGTTTTTACCTCTGTTTCGTATATTATCCGTTCCCTATGTATTCATTTGATTTTTATAGCGATCACACTGACCCATGGCAGCGTCTGGAGCCATGTTAAAGTACTTTTTTTTTGTTGTAGGGTAGGTTTTTCCGGCGTGGCTTAAACTCCCAGTGGCCAGACCTTTGTATTCAGACCGTTTTTATGCCATATTTAATAAATACTACTTAGCTTAAATATAACGATGCGATGTTCTTTCTGCTCTCTGGGATTTTACAATGCTTTAAACACAGAATAACAAGATTTATGATGGAGATCGAAGGAGGCTGAGCACAACAGATAACGTAGACAGAAACATATCTCTCTTTATTCATAATTCAGCTCTGCTTATTGTAATTTGATCGATTGGTTTTCACCATACCGTACGATTAACATGAAACATGCCGACAACAAGCGACATAGTTGATTTGGAACTGTTATCAAGCTTTTTTTCTCGCTGCGGTCTGATTACGTGTACGACGACAGTCTGAGACCGTGGCACCATCATCTGCAAAAAAAAGAAAAAATGGGTAATTTGACAAATAAATTTGATTTCTGGTAATACACTATTCCTTGTTAAGATAAAACGCAGTTGTTTTTGTTGATGCAGGTGTTTTCAGGAAAGGTTTTTAGATGTTTTAAATTAACGTCATGTGTACGAATATCACGCAAAACTGCAGTCTAATGGAACTTAAATCGGCAGAAATATTAAGATAACTTGAGAATTCACTGTCGACACGCACAAAACATGCCAAATATGGAAACAGAAACGTCGACACTTCAAAAAAAAAAAAAAAAAGGAAACGACACCACAGTTAGACAAAGATGCATTATTAAAACCCATTATACTGGTTCTAAGTGTTCGTGCCAAGTGTGCATCCCATGGGTTATATAATGTTTCTGATTAACCAGTTTTGCCTATAGTCCAGTGTGAACATATCTAGCAATTCGTTCGTTAATTCTGTTGGCACAGGTGTCAATGGTTGTTACACCGCTTACCAACCGGTCACAGAGAAATCTCTGATATTATTGTGATATTAATATTGTTTTTTCTTTCTGATACGCTAATATATGCACTGACACTCCAGTCCTATTCTGTTTTACCTTATGCTCATAGAAGCTATCTACCCATCATTTCTCGCCAACTGTTTGCCTGACTCAATTTTGGAAGCGCAAAATTAATAACACAGAATAGCTCGGCATGAAGCTCTGCAAGACAAAAGTGTCCGTTGATAATAAGCTTTCCGATTGGATAACTTATTTACTGATTGTTGTCTGCTTTTCTCTACACAGAAGTTCACGTCACGCAAACACAAGCCAGGTGCCTGCCGGCGCTGAGTTGAAAAACTAATCGTTCTTTGTTAATGGGGAGCAGCTCGTCCGTTTTCTGTGAAATAAAACCCCCTCCCGTAATGAACCGCATTACAGAAAGCGATGCCCCTAAGACAACTGACTTGACTGTCACTCTTATTAACACTGAGATCAGGAGTGATTGATGATATACTAGTAGTTCTGATAAATGGTAATAATAATAATAAATGGTAATCAACACAAAGATAGAATTGGAAATCAATGTATCATATTTTCCGAATATCAAGGAGAGAGAGAGAGAGAGAGAGCATGTCATTGAGTAGATAAACAAAGCGGCATTTTTCCATCAAAACTCGACACTCTCCATATTCTTAATGGATGAATCACCTCTAAATTCAAAATGAAATTATAAGATAATGGCGGTACCGCTGTTATGTAAAGAACACTTTATTACACTTTTTGCCTGTGTTTTTATCGAAGCCGTAACCTGAACCTCCAGATTTTTTATCTTAGGAGGCATTTGAAGGAACGAGTCTACAGGAACAACCCACAAGCCACCTCAGAGCAGCAGTCACACAAAAAATAACAGCTATACCAACGGAAGAGTGCATCTAAGTCATCGACAACTTCGCCCGTAGAATTTAGAAGTACTAGTCAACAGAAAATAAATGGTGTCTACGTTCTTGGGTAACATGTATACTGGGACACCATGTAATTTATGTTGAGTTTTTACACTGTTCGCACTCGGTACGAGAGTCTGTCAAGTCTAACTTGCCACGTTAATGTCACTGCTTCATTTACTTTTCATGAACTTCAAAACGTAAATAAGATAGCGGAAATGGATTTGATTTATTTCTTTGTACTAAAAATGAACACATCGTGTAAGTTTATCGGTACTTTCATCACACAGCCCGTATCTGGGTCAGGCCGGTATCATGCTTAATTCACCTATGTATGAATGTGTTAAACAGGTCCACATAAGCGCAAGTGCGTCATCAGTGTGTTTTGAATAGCATCGTATCTAGAATAAGGCATGGCGTTTGATAACCATGAAACAAATATGCTTATAGGCGTGTATTTTTCTCAGGTATAGATTTAAGAAAGATCGATTCTTTGTTCCTTTTCAAAGCGATAAGCAAGCTCGGAAAATGTCTAGATGCGTGTATGTTATGCGCAGGCACGAGTTCACATGTGGCAATCTCTCTCAAGTTGTTTGAAAGAAACAAAGAATTTCGAACTCGTATAGACTATTTTACTCATATATCTATATAGCGAGCTTATTTAACATCGCCCTGTAAAAGGCCATCAAAAGTAACAGCTCTTTGGTGCGATTCCTCTACCGCAACTGAGTCTGATTGCGATTGTTGAGCTAGCTACAGCAATCGGACAGGCATGCTATACACTGGGGCTCAGAGTGGGTCAAACTGAGTTATCGATTGTTGAACGTCTGTCAGTCAGAGTGTAAAAATCAGAGTGGTCCATTTTCTGAGCTGCTGTAGTTAAATCACACCTACGTAAACCATGCAGCATAGCGCCCAAATTACATTTCAATTTATTTCCTTCCCAAGGGCAAAAATCACCCGAAGTGACTCCCACGTTGCATTAGTGTCCGTGTCACCAAACCGCTGTGGGGACTTTCCCCTGGATCTGTGATTAGGGATCTCCTTTATTCATAGCTGGAAAACTATTACAGATGACAAAAGTATAATTTCACCTTGTTTGGTGAGCTGCATGTCATTTGCATACATATCACGCGCAAACATCGCTCGCATTATGCTGAGTGTTTTAATGAAGAACATGGTGAAACCAGCTAGTTTCGGTTTTTATTGCCACTAGTAATCCAGGCAAGCAACTACAACACTGCATCACCGACGTATTACATCTGCTCGCTCACTTAACCCGCGTTGACGTTGATTTCGTTGCAATTTTGACTAATTCCTCTCTTCCGCCTTAAACTGTTTAATTAATCCACTACGTCCCTGAATATATCGATTATAAACAAGTGCGTGTTTTTTCCTAGTTGCGTCCTATCTAAATAGAAATCAAGCGCTTAATAGTGAAGAGGTTGAGTGATTGGGGAATAGAGTCCCATCCCAGGGCGATAGACAGAAGTTAACGAGGCAATCTGAAACACAGTGTGGGAATCTCCATGTAGAACAGAAACCATGGTGGAGAGCTGGGGTGTTGTAATCAGACTCTGGTCACATAAATGCGATCTCTCTTATTAATTCCTTTTTGAATGAGTGCAGTTTTTTTATCAAAAGTGTAGATCATACATTTGAAATGGGTAATAGAACAATATATTGGTAAAATATGTAGATATTTGAACATTTCATGAAATCTATTCTTAAAGTTTTGCTAGCCGCAAAGCTTGTGTGCACGCTAGGAACCGTGGTTTGCTCCCCATTATTTTGTACATATGACATTAGGCCCATATACCGACCCGATATTCCAGCTAACCCTGGCTAGCATGTACTAAATAAATGGGACCTTGGAATTCCTTTTCTAGGACAAGCATTCCTGTCACACTAGTTAAGTTCCGTGAGATAACTGAAGTTAGAATGGATTCCTTCGGGGATAAATCATATGTCCGGTACTCACTGCAAAAGCTACCAAGTTCTGTGCAATAAGATAAAGGGTTCCGTGCTATATGGCGGCTTTTTGTACAGTGGACTAAAAAAGACGATCGCGTATTTAACCAACCGTAGGCCATGAAACGTTTCAACAGTTTCGCAAACTAAGTGCGGTTTCCTCTCCCTTTTTTGCACATTACGGTAATAATTCTAGTCACCAATGTAATACCAGTCCAATTCGGAGCAAACTGTATTACGTTTTCTCTGAATTTATGGCCCAAAAAGTACATCTGTCAAATGCATCTAATACTTATAAGGCTTATTTAGCGAAATGTGCCCATGAAACGCCAAGTTGACTCACATCGTACTTACCCTGCTCTTTATATGTCTTGCTTTATAGGACATATTTCAAAAATTGCAAGTAATAGTAGTTAGATAATGAAGCATTTGAGAGCAGATATATCTAGGCCGATCTTAGGTTTATTCCACACAGATCACGAAGAGTATACCAGCCAATCTATAGGGGTTTTACATATACCAAACCAGCTTATTAATACCAGTCAGGAACATTAATTATTTTCAACCACATTACCAGGTTTGTATCACAGATTTAAACAGCAGTGGTCCATAATGCTACCAGGAAGTCCCAGAGTGTTGCCCCTCCTCTCATTTTCTTGATGCCCTAACTCCTTGAGGGTAAGAAAACCACAGTGATCATATCGTACAATCAAAAGTCTTACTGGTACAGTGTATACAGGATTTGTGATGTGTATAATTAGTAAAGATGGCGTGCAATTTAAAGGTTTGGAATCCGAAAAATCGTTCTTTAGTCCATGATATCTCATTAAGTCAGTCTTTAGTCTNCTTTTTTTTTTCCATATTTCAGCATCTTCATGATATCAGTGATTGTATTATTTAGGAAATATATAGTATTTACACAGGTGAGTCAGTAAACAAATATCATGATTATATACTATGTACTAGTATGTATTACAAGTAGTGCACAAATGTACTCACACATGCACACACACACACATGCACACATACACATGTACACGTACACATGTACACGTACACACAACACACACACACACACACACACACACACTTGATGTCTTGGATCAAGCATTCAGTGCACATGCACAATCTTATCACAAATACATACAGATCCACACACACACACACACACACACACAATCAAATTTATCTAACTTAAATACTATGACAGTTCTCATAATGACCTGTAACAAAGGTCGAGTTGAATCAAATACGGAAATGATACTTCACTGCAGTCATTCAGAGAGATAAGAAACTTAATATTAACAGTGTTTGTCACAAACCTGTCTAGCAACCTTTTGTTTACGGGCATTTTCTCTGTTTGTTTGTTTATGTTTCTACTAGTACCTGAATGAAAGATTACAGAATGATAATTTTATTGTTCTTGTCATATTTAAAGAAGGAAGGGTCATTTAAATTTGACATTTAATTTTGTGTTATTATTGTTTGTTAAATATTAACTTTGAAAATTGCATCTTGTCATAAGACTGACCACAATCTTTTGCATTATGATTACAGTTTAGTTATTTGGACTTTTTTTCACATTTTCAGAGACTTATCTTATATCTTAGTGTAGCAGCATTTATGGACAGTATAGCTTATATAATGGTGAGGAGTTACACTAGAAGTCTTAGAAACTTGTTTGATAAAAGTTTTGAAATGTTTTTATGATCAGTGTCTTTCTGCTCCCTTTCCTTTTCTCTTTAAGATGTTTTAAACTATTTTTAAGTATAAAGCTATTAATATATAGTTTTCAGTATAATTGTAAAGTCACTGTATTATATTTTCATAATTTTTGATTGTTAAGTGTATATAACTGTAAAATTAAAATGCATATAACCAAATATGCTTTAATGATATTAATAATTATAAATATATTTTTACAATTACCTTTTTTCAAACTAAGGTAAGCTTCATTACACTTTTCTATAGACAGTGTCTTTTTAAAGGAAGAATTTATAAAGCTCAGTATATTTGAACTATACATATGTATGTCAATATGAAAGTTTTTTCTATGTTAGATTTTTTTCACATTTTCAGGGAGACATGCATCCTGATGGGCCTTTATGTGATTTCCAGGCTTTCTTTATGACTCTCTTTGGTGAGTAACCCGCCATTAGCTTTTTTAATTTTTCATTTAATTTATTAAGAAAAAAAAAAAAGAAAAAAAAAAAAAAATATATATATATATATATATAAAATTTATAGTAGATAATTTATTTGATTAGTTTACTCTCCTTAAATAATATTTGTTTCAAAATTATTGTTTATATTGATTATTGTTTGGGTTAGTGTTATCAAAATATTAACTTCAATATGTCTGTTCAGTCAGAATTCTGCTTTTGAAATGGTTTTGTTGTTTTTATTTCCTTCTTTATTATCCTAACAGGGTTACCTTTAGTTACGAGGAATGATAGTATGATACTTTAAAGAAAACAATCCTTATAAATTTTTTTTGTGTGTAAATAAAGCCCAGTAACAAGAGGTTGTTGTAAGGGGGGGGGATGGATTACCACACACACCCCAACCTCATTCTGATAAATCTACTAGAAGGTAAATATTCCAGCTCACAAAAAGTGCCCCGTCAAACTATGATGTTTAAATATATTTTTGTCCTTTTCAGACTGGTCAGTCCTGCTATGGGTATGTGCTATAACTCTCAATCTTGCCATGCTGGTGATAGCCATGAAGAAGACTGAGAAATATGAATGGTAAGAGGTTGTCAGACTTGGTAGCCAGTGATTGTATTAAGGCCTGTGAAGACAGGACAGCTTTAAACTGGATATCAGTCCAAAGTGTGTCACGAAGACTAAGTCCAAAGTGTTACTTCAGACTGGACTGACTGATTTTTCATTTTTGATGTCTGCTTACCCCTCCCCCCCCCCCTACACACACACACACACACACACACACACACACACACACACACACACTCTTGCAAACTTGAAAGAATATTCTATGTGAAAAGCAACTTGACAGCAGTCTTAATTAGTGTTGCTAAGAAAATGTTTATTGGCTTCATCTAAGTAAGTGGACTTGGGTAAGCAATATACCTTGTCTTTTCCTGGCTTGGCACATAGAACATTGTGACATATTCATTGTCATGCATGTTTTTCCAGGGCGNCATAATTTCTTGCCTGCCTTTTGCTGGAGATAGATACGGGCCATCAGGAGCTTGGTGGTAAGTATGTCTGTCACTGGGAGAGGTTGTTAGCTTTAGAGTTTTTTTTTTAGCTCTCCCTCTCTCATGAATGTACAGAGTCATTGGTCTTAGTCAAGCTATTTTCTATGTTATCAAGTAAGGTGATTATAAGATATATTTATACTTAAATTTATTTTAGGTCAGTGTTTTTTTTTTTTTCTTTTGAATTGGATAAGTTTATCAAGTGTCAATTTAAGAGACATTTTAACTGCATCCATTTGTTGACTTGCTAAAGAAACTAATCACAGAGACAAGATGGATTATTATTATTAATTTTTTTTTTAGTTGGATCACAGAGTGGCCTTGGAGGTTTGGCATGTAAGTATAAGAAATGTATAAACTAGAAAAGTAAAAATAATATGAACCTAAGTGCAGATAACTTTTTTTAATTTTTAACTGAAACTAAAGAATTGAAAGTCACACATGTCTGATGTGCTAATAACTTTAAATCACACAGGGTGCCAGACCAATTTACTTTGTACATAACAGACTAGTAGAGCACCCCGAGGTCAGAGAGTACTTTATTTGAGTGAACTACAAGGGATTGATCTTGGCCTGAAGTTGACCAAATGACTGGCCTAATAATTCAGACTAGTTTATGAGCTAAAATTCTTTTGTGAAACACTATGTATTCTGTATTATATATTATATGTATTATTCATTTTTCATACTCCTCTTTCTTATATTTTAACCTGAACACATTCTAGAATGATTTCATTACTTATATTAGAACTGATTTATTATGTTATTTTATTATTGGGATTTTGTGTGCAATTTTATGTCTTGCACCCCTGAGGTGGGAATAAATAAATAAATAAATAAAGCTTTTTTGTCCTTTTCTCAGCTGGTATGTGCCTCTATTCCTGATCATTGCCCTGTTGTTTGTGGTCTACGTCTACATTACGGTGGTAGTCAACAGGAGAGTCCACACCTGGGAGGGCACTTATGACCCTGATGTGGAGAGAAATAAGGTAAGTTTTGTTTTGTTTTGTTTTGTTACCTTGTGTTTGTATATGAGCACTTCAACCAAGCTTGTTATTTATTTGATTTTTGGCCAATGCTTTTTTCTGGTAAGAGAAGACTACAAAACAATAATGTAACAGCTCAATCATTTTCACTGGGAAAAAATGTCAGTTGATCACATGTCGAATAATTTTGGAATCATTTAAAATGCATTTCTGTGTAGCATTTTGGTATTTGTTAGTTTATGTCAACCAGTCATGTAAACCAGTTTTGAAGGGATCCTACTTTGCATGGTATTCATGAGAAACAAAATTGTTTGTTTGCATTCAAGAACTTCAACCTGTTTATTCATTTATTAGCCAGTGCTCTTTTCTAATGAAAAAAGACTACAAAACAATATTTATCATGATAATACGGTTGTGAGACATGCTTTTACCTGAAAGACGCAGTTGAAACTTAATTTCAGTGAAACTTACTTTACATGCAGCACAGTAACAATTATATATTTAATTTATTTTCTTTTTGTAGCAAATGCTGAAAGAAGACATTAAGCCACTGAGAGGGTATCCATTTGTTTACCTAGCTGTTAGCATCTTTCCACTTATAAACAGGTAAAATTCTATGCCGTACAACAAATAAGAATACCTTCTTTGTTGGGAATTTTCTTCACCTTATTGTTGTCAATGGGCACTGCAATTTTGAGGTGATTTTCAAATTTTGAAATTTTATTCAGGGGGCTGAAAAGTGTAGACAGTGTAGACTAAGAAATTGAACATTTAAATTCATGTCACTTACTTCATGATATAATTTTCATCAGAACTATTTTGTTTATATTTCAGGATCCAGAATGCTGTATCTTCAGACCATCAGCCTGTGTTTGCATTGTTAATACTATGTTATTTATATTTCAGGATCCAGAATGCTGTATCATCAGACCACCAGCCTGTGTTTGCATTGTTAATACTCCATGTCATCTCCTCACCACTTCATGGTAAATAAACAAAATAAAACCCCATTCCTATAGACACCATTGGTCTACATAGACTGATCCAACTCTTCAGGGACTCTTGCTGAGTGCAATCAGCTTAACTGAATTACGTCACCTCTTGTGTCCAATGTATGTATTTGTATTATCACCAGCTTGCCTGTATTCTGCTCAATGCCAGGAGGAGACATGTTATCCAGTTATGCTGATTGCCCTCAGCAAGAGTCCCTGCAGAGTTGGATTGATCAGAATAAAACCCCATTGCCGTAGATACCATCTGTCCAACTCTGCAGGGACTCCTGCTGAGTGCAGTCAGTTTAACTGAATGACATAAACAAATGAATAATTACAGAATTAATAAGGTTCATTTTAAAAAGACATTTAATAATTAGATAAAAATTATAAAAATTAAGAAAGAATGAAAATGCTGATTACACTACTGATTAACTATCTTGGACTGGTGATATGCTCCCTACTGCATTCTGTTGTGTTTATTAATGGTAAACAATTAATTTTCAGGTGCCTTAAATACAGTTGTGTTTGGAATGGACAAGGATACAGTGTCCAAACTGACTCCCAGTCAAATAAAGGTGAGGAAAAACTAACAGAGGTTTCACAGGGTATTGTTTTAAGGGCATTAACTCTTTGTCTCATTCTGTGACTTTTGAAAGTAGTGCTGTAGTTGAAAAGAACTCTACATCCACAATATGTTTATAAATTCATGATGCCCTTAAACCCTATAGGGCCTGTGACTGCATATATGGGGTTCATTTCTCACTTACCCCAAAGACCAAGAACTGCACATATATGTATTTCAGAAATATGGGTGTTTTGTTGCCTTTTGAGTGTGTGTGTGTGTGTGTGTGTGGGGGGGGGGGGGGATAATATACTAAAAAAACAATAAAATAACAAAATTAAAAAGAGATGAAATTAATAAAAGATGCCTCATTGTTTCCAGTTGGCTATCCAGAGCTGGAGAGCAGGCAGGTCCATCATTGAAGAGTTTCCTACAGAAACTGAGTCTCCCGATGCCGACCCTGATGACGTCAACCCAAGTGTCAACCAAGAGCAATGACGGTTACTTCCACTGGAGACATAGAAGGATCAGTAGACACAAAAAACATGAAAGTGCTGTGTTTTGTGAAATCTGTGGTAAATGTCAGGTTTATTATTTGAAAAGTTGGATGATAGAAAGATTGACTTTGATTTTGTTTAATTCATGAACTCTCCTCAATTCCAGAGATTGTGTTATAGTTGTGTCCACCAGATGGCAGTGGTGCACAAGATGAAACGTTTCAAAATTTTTGTCCCGTATTATGAAGTGTTCAGTGTGGCAAACCTAGGTATACACAATTTTCTGTAGCATTTTAATATCACGAACAAAAGAATTATTTTATGCTTTTCATATCTCGACATTTGCGAGCTTATTAATATGCTTGATGATGCTTATTTTGAAAAAGAACAAGATATCGTGAAGAATCACTTGTGAAAAAGCTATTATGTCTATTGGTGTTTGATGTAAATTTGCCAGAAGTTGAACAAACTGTAGGAATATTCTGCTCAGTAAGTGTGGCTCAGTGTGAGGCCTTTTGTAATAGTAGGGTAAAATCTGTGTTCTGTTTTCTTTGGCTCTCATACTGTGTTCTAACACTTTGAGATCTGCAGGGTACTTTAAATCAAATTTGTCACATTTTGATTGTTCTTTTCACACTTTTGACATCTTTAGATTTACCAGTGACAGTAAAGCATATTGCCCCACAATTCAGCACATATTATGTAGAGTCCTTCTATTGCTTCAGTGAGTTAGTAATATATATGTTTGTTCACAAACATGAGATGGGTCACCTAGAATTGGATGGCATTGAGGCATGTGGCAATACCGTGGCCAATTTTCACAAGACAACTTTGACCTATAACTGTTCTAAACTTTGATGCCATAGTTTGGCCTTTATCAGTTCAAGATGAAGACTTACTAATCCACTTGGATAAAGTGGGCAATGGTTTGAAACAAGAGTTGTGCCCTTCTGTTTGTAAAACAAGCACTTGTAAGGAGACTGCTATTGATTACATTTGCCATTTAATCGAAACAGACAAAAATTTTGGTCTAAAGAGCTTGTTCTATTGTGAACCAGACCACAGGTCCTAGGATCTCAAATGATGCAATTTAGTCTGTAACTGACCTAAGTTAGTCAAGTGTGTGAGCAGGCTTCATTAAGAGCTAACTTGTTATGTCTTTCTCCAAAATTATTTCCATAACTTCTCTTATAACTTTTTAATAATTTTTTTAATTTGCATAATTTTATTTGAAAGAAAATAGAACGTGTCTCCAACCTGAGAAGTTATTTGTTGGTTGTAAATGCTATGTAAACTTAATACTCACATTTCTATTTTTCACCCACTGACATTTTATAGCTGTTTTGTAGAATGAATTTTTATTTTTAGATCTAGAACTAATTTTGTAATTTTCAGTAATGTTTTGATGCTTTTTCTGTGACTAACTTTGTAACTTAGAAATGTCTTGATGTTAATGTCCATCCAAAATGTTTTGTTTATCAAATAATTATCTGTTCATATCCAGATATTAAGTTATCTAAAAGGGAACAAATATGAAGTATGAAATAAGTCAGGTTTATGAAATATATAATCGAATTTGATAGATTATTTGACACAATTTGACCACAGTGAAGAATATGAGACCAAATCATGTTTAACTTTATGAGACTTTTTCATGTATCTGTTACTTTTTATGGTGGGTAACTTATTGTATGCTATAGTAGTTTTAATTATATTTATAATGTGGAGAAATAGATTTTTCTTTATCTTTTGTGTAATACTTGTAAAATATAAATAGTTTCTATAGAGATTGAACATTTTTTTCTACTGATGAGGCTTCACTACCACAAATGCATCATAGTACCTATGTCTCCTATGTAGAAAAAAAATTTTTGCCTGTGTAGAACCTATTTTAACCAACAGGATACCCTGTACAATGTATTTATATTGTTTACGACATGAATGTATAGAAATATCATGTTGTATGGCTTATACTAGGTGTTGGGTAAAAAAGTAAAAGATACATTACGAGCAGGTGATATGTATGTGATATAAAGGAGGGGGAAGCATACGTGCATGTTACACACACACACACACACACACACACACACACAGCTTGTTGATGAGTGATGTTTAGGACGTGCATCACAGCACGTTTGGCATACATGTATTCCAGATACACAGTGTCTCTGGTATTGGATTTATATGTAGTTGTGAGAAATATGTACAACTTAGATACTGGAACTATACTTATTACCTAGTGAAAGGACTAATTTCCTAGTGAAAGGACTAACTAGTCTGATGGTCAAATATGGCCGACCCACTTGAATACTTCCCCACAGGATATCAATTCAGTGTCTATTAGCGGATTAGATGGCAAGCTTTGTAGTGTGTTGTCATATTTGACCCTCGGACTAGTTAGTCCCTTATTCTGAATGGGGCCAAAGTTATAAACATTTCTCACACTTAGGCTTCGTTCACATGCAATGTCTATTTTCTATTTTCTATTTTCGGTATGTCTTATGATCACGCTCTGTGCCCTGAATATCCCGCGGCGTAATTACTGGCTTCTTATAAGTAACTGGCTCGCGCTGCCAGTAATTACACCGCGGGATGTTCAGGGCACAGAGCGTGATCATAAGACATACCGAAAATAGAAAATAGAAAATAGACATTGCATGTGAACGAAGCCTTATTCTACTGGCTGACTTAAAACATTCACTAAGACCCCATTTCCATAGATTAGATCGACCTACTTTAGATCGACCTAACTCCCTGGGGGTTCACGCTAAATAGCTGTCAGCCAGGCGGACACGAAAGTTAATTACCCTCTTACAGCTTGTAGTAGGCGGGATGGACATTTAAGTCGGATTATCTGAAAGTAATCTAGTGAGACTCCCCACGGGGATAGATTGATCTAAATGTCTGGTAATACGCCCACATATGCAGTTTTATCACAGCCATATTGGACTAGTGTAAAGAAATGTAGAGTCTGTGTAACATAGAGTCCACAGTACTTTATATTCATACAGTTTAGGATGCACGTGGGTTAAAATCTAGGCCAGGACTTAGCTGTTTTAGTTGGTGGGAACTTGGGACCTACCTCAAAGGGACCCTGTCTAACCCGCCAGTATAGCAAAAGATTTTAGACCAAAAGTTGTCATTTAGTCTATTTAGACGAACCAAGATAGCAGTAGTCTGACAAAAGACTTTGCATAATAACAATTATTTGGGAGTTAAGATGATTGAAATTAAGAAGTGAACTGTAGTCTTGAGCAAATTGGTTACCTTCTTACCTTGTTACCTTGTATATAAACTAGAAAAAAAATGCCCTTGTGAAGGAGGTTTATCACGTATTTGTCTACAAAATTGGCAAATAAATGAACATGTAAGATGTTAAGTTTTGATATGTATTTATAGAATGACACTAGATGTTCCATTGAAGTAGTATTGACGGGATTATGCTGTTAGTACTTACTGTGAGTAAGAAAACATTATTTGTACATGTACATTCAAAAATGAGTGATATGAGTTAAAATCTATATATATCTAGTTAATCATGAAAGTTGGACATTATTTTCTATATGTTTTATGTACAGAAAAGTGTTTTATGGCACATTGTTAATGCGTATTCATGAAATGTGATGTGAAAAAATATTGCTGTGACCCAGTGACTCAGTTAAGCTAGTGGTAACATTTTTTCACAATTCTTCATTTGCTTTCAGAAACCTTCAGTCGTTTTCCACTATTCATCTACTTGCCATGAAAAAAATGTACATAGCCAAATGAAACATAATTTATTCTTAAAAAAAACAGAATTTAAATTGTTTTTCCTCATAAACTGTGTATAAGGCCCAGTATTACACCCTGAGTTTCAGAGCACCTGTGCACTCTTATGGGTGTGGTCGTACAGATAAGATAAACGGATATTGGGACCTTGAAACTGGGGGTGTGAGAGCTAGTCGTGTATTTGCGTATTACCTGTGTGAAGCTCTGGCCAGTAAATGTTAATAAAGTCTGTCACAGTTTTAACTTTTGTTTGTTTGTTTTTTTGCAATTTTTCAAGTAAATCCGGTTGATGTCAATGATGATAGGCCCTATTGGCACTAATGCTATTTATTTATTTATTTATTTACTGATTTATTTATTTTTCAATAGTTTCAAAAATTGTTATAGGTTAACTTTAATTTCAAATCTAAATGTTTTTATTTTTCTTTCAAAATGAGAGAGAGAGAAATCTGTCTAGGCCATTGGTTTTATTACTTGTGTCAGAGAAGTCTTCACCGAAAGCCATATGTGTGATTAAAAAATTGAACATTTGAATCTCCATTATCATTTTAAGTAATATTTAATGTATTAATACATTTTAAAACCATTGTTGATTTCATGCCGTATAGGAGGGTACTGCATCATAGGACGGAAAAAATAATTAGGGGGAGTTAGAAGTATGTAAATATTGCGCAAAATGTGTTCACATTTTGTGGAGTGGCCTACATACAGTGTAACGGCAAGAAAGATGACAAGTTGTCAAGGTTGCCAGAGAATTGACCAGTCGGTTATAGCAGAGTATATGGGTAGCGAGACCTCGGTGCAGGCCATGAAGAAGACATTGCTATTTCTTAAGATTAATGTCACTTTTTATTGGTCTGGGAGATGTAAATGTTCTGGACATTCTCGTGGTTTATTTATGTCATTTGGCTTGGAATATTGAAAAGGACCTCAGTGATAACTGTTGACAAAATAGGGGACAAACGACCACGTGGCCTCTGCGAAAAAATGGTCATTGCAAGTGAAGTTCATGGGAATATTTCTTCCTATCCTTGACACTGATTCAGCTGCACATATAGGAATAAATGATGGTGATTCACGATGAAATGTTGACAAACTTGGGATTGATTAGACTGATAATAGGAGGAACTGGCAATATACGTGGTATATAGTATATAAAATTGTGGAACAAATTGCCTTTTAGTATCAGAGCTGAAAGTGACTATAATACTTTTAAAGCCTGTCTTAAAACTCATCTTTTTAAAGAATTTTATGGTGAGTGTTCCTTTAAACCTTTTAGTTGTTTATCATTTATTAAGAGTGAGCTTGGGTTAATTTTAGTAGTATTTTAAAGTTATATCATTAAATTTTCTCTGCTTTCTTTAATTAATTAATTTTATCAGTAAATGTTAAATTATTTTAGTATTGTTATTTTTAGACTTTTTAATTATTTGTAAAGTGCATTGAAATGTAAAAAATGGAATGCGCTATATAAGAAATAAATATTATTATTATTATAAGGCTACGTGGAACGGAGTAGTAAAAGTAGTAAAATTGAGATAAGACAGTGAATACAATACGGACATGTTCATGAAAATAACGATATGTGTCATCCAAAAGTAAAAAGAGTAAGTGCAATGGTCATTATTATAGTTTGTGTAATTATTTACCCAAGAGAGTTATTATTCTGTGAAAGAATTGTCAAAATTTGATTTAGTTTTATTTCTTTATTTTTTTATTCACATATCTTAACGTGACTATTCTGATTCAAATCATAAAGTACATAAATACTTTTTTGCTGAGAAATGTACATTGTTACTAGTATTTTCAACATTGATTTATTTTATTGTAATGTGAATAAAGTTTTGTAAGTTTGAATTCTCTTTATCAGTTCGGTTTTATTACGTGGTCGTGTATTTCGTTAGCTGTTGTCATACATGTGCATTGTGCCATCTGTCATTGCACTGAATTTTTGGTTTGTAGAGATGTCTAAATTATTTTACCCAAAATGTAAATCGATGCCACCTGAAACGCCAGAGAAAATCAAAGTCCGAATATTCGGTGCTGGAGCTATCATTCAACAATAAATATATTTCCCGAACTTCTCGGTTTGAAGATAAAAAACCTTAGGAACAATTCGTAAAATGAAGAGATCACTATTTTACGAAATTACTTACTAAACAACTTGTTTCAATATTGACAAAAACTTTATTAAAGCCATTCCTAAAAAAACAGCTGAATCTTTTTCTTGCATATATTTCACTTTGAAATCTGTAAAAAATCATACCGATTCGTTTTGTGGAGTATTTATTTTCAATTAAAACTTGTCAAAATTTTGGCCTACGTCATCAGTAACTATAAAGGAAAGATCGAAAGTTTAGGGTGGGTGGTTGGGCGAATAGACGAACCGGTAACGTGGTAGACTGGGAACCAGAAGGTGACAGGATCGAGTTCTGCAGAGTTTTTATTTTGAAGAAAAAAAAATGAAGCACGGAGTATACTATGAAGGTTTCATTTGTAGTAGACGGTTTTTCCCCGGCCCAGTGGCGTAGTCGGTAACTCCTCTGACTTGTAAAAAATACTAGAGAAGAGGTACAAGAGAAAGAGATCGAGTCCAACAGAAATTAAACTGATAAGACTTTTTGTCTCTCATCATTAATTGGAATTTTCTAAAAAATATATATATCCATTGGAGAGTGAAATGTGAAAAGAATAACTACTGAAATATTACGCCAGGTTGTTTAGATTTATTTCATTTCAATGACATTTTAAACGTACGTGTTTTCAATATCAAAGTAATGGCATTCAATGTGTTGCTAAAAGACATGCCAAGTCGTGCTGATATTTGCTAAAATTACAAACTGCAACTATACAATTCTCAATGTGAAGCAAAATGAACAGTTACCATGAAATTTATTGCAATCTACAAACACTGTGTATCTTAAATACAGTGACTACAATGAGATGAAGTACGTGTAGACTACAATGTAATGTTATAAATATGGTGCTTAAAACGTGTCGCTCATTTACAGTTTCCTTGTGTAGTCAATCGATTCGATTAATCGATAACTTCCTTTTCTGAAAGACTCCTTAAAATGTTGCCAACACAATGGTTGTGGACTTCTCAGGCACGAACATTGAATACTAATTAATTTATTTTTGTTACTCCGTACATTAAATGGTGGGTCTCCATGGTTTCCCTACATTTAACAACGGATTACGCATTCCTTCATAATACGGGTAGGAAGGTACCCTCTAGCAGGGACGCAGATTAATTATGTGCAGTTTAAATTTATTTTTATTTTAACGTTTTGATGTTACAAAGGTAGGAGCCTAGCAAGCATTAGAATTCATACATGATAAGTATTGTCATACATATAACTTTCATTCATATACATTTGACTACGAAACCAAAAAAGGTGAGTAACATTTTGAGCTTCACGCTGGTTGCATTTCAGTTTCATCCCATATTTGTGTCCCCTTCATCTAACATGCTGATACTGCTAGCAGATGGTGCGATAGAACTGTTGTCACTTCTCCTACACATCTTTGTTTCCTGCGGGCGTTGACGACTGGAATAAGATAGAAATATAACATAGGAAGTTTATAATTTCGTTTGATATCGCAAAAGTCTAAATGTGCATACTTTTTTTATATTTCAAGAGGAGAAACCATCAACATATGTACGACATGCAAAATCAGCCGGGTAGTCCATGTAGATATCTCTCGACTGGCACAGGTAAACTGTGCCCCCCCCCCCCCCCCCCCCCCCAACTCACCAACCCTTGTGATGATTAGATAATCACCTCAACTGACATCAGGGTACACTTTTAAAAATGTCCTTCTTACAAGAAATTTACGTTCCAGCATCCGTTCCAGTAATGAGAAAAGCAACGCGCATGTTTTACTTACGTGTTGTTGTGTCCATTTCAAGCAAGCAGCTTTGAATATACCATATTTTATCCACGAGAACCACCACCACGTTTTGGAATCTGTGTACTCCATCATGCTTTCCTGACTATCTATCACTTGGAGTTCGTATAATTTGAATAACAATGCCATAGTAGGAGAAGTGGATCACGGGGCGATGATTGTGTTAGAGAAGACTGGGAAAACACAGCATGCTAGAGAGCGCGAGTCGCGCGATTTATGTTCAATTGAATTAGATTTATTTCTGTACCAGTACATAAATTATCATGCCCTTGTACAATAAATAATACAATTACAGCAATACAATGGGTGTAATGCCATTCTCTAATTGGAAATAATAGATATATAGGTAATAGGTAATGAATTTATAATAATAGCTGATTTTCTGCCATTATACGAAAGGCTGATAATATAGCTTCATTTTGTCTCATTTCGCTGGTTAAACGTTTTTTCTTGGTGCGAGAGGAGGGGGGGGGGGGGGGCTGAGAAGGGAATAGAGGCTGGAAATGTGCCCAACGTACCTGCCATTGCAGTAAATAACCTTTCAAAGGAAAACAAAATATCGACAGCTTTTGTGTTTTATGACTTTATTTTGTGTAAAATGTGTTTCGGTTCTGATACACACAGTTTGACGTTGTTTAACTAAAAGAAGCTTTATATACAGCCTACACGTGTATATCAAACTCTAATAAACTAATGCATCACTTGCCTATAAATAAATCTATTCAAATTTGCATCTTGTGGCCTTTACAACAAGGAATCTACAATAATCCCTGCCATCTTTTTGCTGATTAAAAGACGATGACTCGGGTTTTAAGTCGTACAGTGAAAGTTTGCGTATGGCATTCTATTCCAGTCGGAATCACTAAAGTCAAAGAATAAACAAGTAACGTGTAGGCCTACCTGACACGTTTCCTTCTGTACAAAAAGTTTCAATTTCAAATACAGCTGAATGAATAAAGTCCATGGCAGTAAACTATAAACGTATGAGATTCTTACTTTGGAATGATAAATGCAATAAGTAACATGAACTATTCCAATGGCATGAGTTTTTAAGGTCACTTATTAGAACTGGAATGAGTTTCCCACATTGCAAAGCCAATGTTTCGGCTTATGTTTGACAAAATATTCCGATCATAAAACGCTGCACAATATTTGATCATACACGCTGAAACGAGGTACAGAGAATCCATAAATATACATATTAAGTACATTGCCCCTAGGCAGTATTATAGGACGCCATATTGGAGTGGTAACCTCACATTTCAATCCAAACTGCGAGTACCACAACAACATCACTCTGGCATTTTGTATGAATAGAGTATTGCGAATCCATTTCCTATACGCCTTTGTGGCCATCGGTTCGGTTCATGATGCTAGGACGTTTGCCTAAAGTTTGCAATCTATTATATTCATTTTTAGTAGATTTCCCGAATCTTGACAACACAATCTGGGACTTTCTTTGATTCCACAGTCGAAACTCATTCGGACCTCTTCGAACAATTTCGTGGTATTCCGTCCACTACAAGATCCAAAGAGTTTCGATTTTGACGACAATTCAAATACGTGGGAATACACATCTCTTAAGTAGCTATTTTATCCCGATATTTTCCAAAAAATGATCAAATGCCATGCTGTCGTCTGCTGTTAAATGTTTAAGTTTGTCAAGGCAGCTGATTTGTTTATGCTTTCATGTGCATCATAGCCATATCTTGGTTGTAGTTTTCCTCAAACCATTCTTCCTTCTTCAAGTAGACGTAATTAGCTGTCAATGTTCCCATGTAGTGCAACTGAAATAAACATCAAAATGAACATTATTTCACATAAACCTGATTTTTAAAAATAAACGAAATAAATAGATAATTAAAAGAGAAGAGAAAAAAAACGACGGCTTGGTAATTTTGTCGATTCAGTTCTTTTTAGCCCACACTCTTCTATCTGTTTACTCCGAAAAGGGGGGCAAAAAGCGGCTGGTCAGATTATCTCCTTGAAACACTATAAACTTAAAGACGAAGAAAATAAATGTAAATAGACCCAGGTCAGAGGCGTAGAAAAGTATCCTTATTGAAAGACATACTAAAGGCAAAATCACTGCTTAAACGTCAAAATACAAGATACTTACGAATCCGAGAACAATGGCGGCAGCTCCTGCCAAGATTCCAATACCCGGCACCCACATGTAATCCACCTAAAATTGAGGAAACAATGACAAATTCAGAAGATTCATACAATGTACAGTAAATAGAAGTACGATCACTAACTCAACCCATTTATTGTTGGGTAAATCTGGTTGTTAATTTCACCCATAACGGATAAAATTGGGAATTTAGAACTCGAAAACGGACTGCTTTTCTCAATGAATTTGGAAAGAATGTACCTTGGTAATTCATGAACAGTGTTAGAATTTTCAGAGTGTTTAAATTTTGTTAAATAAAAGATCACCGCTCATGGACTGTAAAGATATGGAAACACTTACATCGTCGCAGAAGGCAAGTATGGTGTCCTGGTCACATATTTTGTAAGTAGTGCCGTTGAAGCTGCCTGTTTCAATACCTGAAATATAGTTATTACATTAGTATCGAATGTGAGAACATAACCAAAAATATTTTGTCAGATACCGAAATAAAGAAGCATAAGTAGGATAAAAAAAGCCGGGACAACCTTGACTTTTACAGACAGGAAAATGGACAAGAAAAAAAGCCCCATTTTCATAGATAATATATTAGGTTATCCCCCCTGTATCACTTTGAAAGTAGGCGGACAATTAATACCTTGTCTTGTACATGTGCCTAACATTCACCTCTAGAAAGCGCTGTTGTTTCAATTTCCTATTTCCGAAGGGCTGTGCTCATACATGTACTTCAACCTTTTCACAAAAAAAGTTTTGGAACTGTCCAAGTCTACTCGAAAAACCCCAGTTCCGCATCCGTTGTCTAAAAATAAAACTACTTACCATAATTTGTGAGATCTAAACAGCTTCCTGGTTCTCTAAGATCACACATGCTTGACATCATCATTTGAGCCAATAGGAGGACAGCAGCACAGCACGTGACAGCAAGCCAGACGATATGGAACAACCATGTGAGGAGGATGAACTAAATTGAAAAAAAAATCTTTGAAATTTAAAACATAACATAAACATGATTATAAATATTCTGAAACGTTAAGTTTACGAATGACATATTGCCCTGAAAAAGTCTGAATGAAGTTTTTCAGCATTAGGAAAGTTACTTCTGTAGGTCATTTTTACCTTGATTTCAACAGAGAATGACAGGGCCAAATGGATTTGTACAGTATATGAAAGAAGTGGCCGGTTCTCTTTAATTCAACACAGATTTCTATATATGTCAATTGAAAAATTTACAAGTTATGTATTTATTGTCATTCAATATTCTGATTAATTCAAAATAAATAAATAAATAAAAATTCTCACCAGGCCTCCCATGAATTTCCCACAGGCGTTGGGGCAGCCCCTCCTACAGCAGTCTTCCCGCGTGCGACCAGTCACCATGAAACCGAACAGAAGCTTTAACAGAGCGCAGAACGCCATCACAGCTGCTACAGCAATCAGGCCAGTCCTCAGCTGATCCACCCTTGAAATCAGAGAAGAACTTGTCAGTATACTGTGTTCAGTATTACAATCAGCGGGTATGCTTGCATGTCAGTAACATACGTGTATCATTAATGAAATATATACACATATAATGTACAGTAATCAGTACCATATTTTGGTCAATACAAAGAGTTTACATATATATGGTAAATGAATAATTTTTCGCCCATGGGACCGTTAGGGACAGAGGAAAAGTCCTAAAACATTTCACATTTCAATGTGCGTCACTATAAGGAATTATTCCATCATTTACTTTATCTTTTGATTGACAATATAGTGCGGACGGAGAAAGGTCAATCATTTTCATTAGATTTAAATGCTATACAGATACAGTGTATTAAATAGGCGACAATATAAGACACCATTCCCACGAATAGATATCCCGTAGGGAAGTATTCAAGTGGGTCGGCCATATTTGGCCCTCGGAATAGTTGGTCCCCTATTCTGAATGGGGCCAATCTGTAAGTCAGTCAACGACTCTACGTTCTCGCTTTATTAACCAGAAGACGTAGGTTGACGAAATTTTCTGAATTCTTGATGCCAAAATTAATTAATTTTTCCAAACCATGTATATGATTATTTCAACTTTATTAATCTATCTTGGATTTTGTTAGAATTACACTTGATATAATGAAAATAATTACCATTGTATCGTGTCAGCCGACATGAGAAAGTGGTCGGACATGATGACCTTGACTGTCTGCATGCCGTCATAAAGGTAAAGGCTGAAGACGACCACTCCACCTACGACAAGAATGGTGGCGAAGATCGAGGCAAACGGAATACTGCGGCAACAGTTGTTGCATCCTGAAAAGTAAAAATATAGAATGAATTAATTTTTCTTCAGTCAACAGCTTGATATTGAAATAGTTTTTACCTCCAATATTTCAGTGTCTAGCAGAAAAAATATAGAAATATTTAGGAGAATTTTAAAAGCATTAATAGACGATTCAGACGAAATAGGTGATTGAAGACAATTAGATCTTCTGTTGATAATGATACTGTTGCAACTGATACTAAGTAACAACAGGACGATAAAAATCTATTCGAATGAATGACAGCTTCAGTCGTCTAAAACCATGATAATAATCCAAGCCGACAATATAACTTGTTTTCGTCAAGCCTAAAACAAATTGGCTTTTTCACAAATGCCTTACACTGTTGCAGTTTCATATAAAACCATGATGAATGTTATTGCCTTTCATCTTAACATTTCATCGTATCATTTATTAGCTTGAGTTTCTTGCCGCAACACGTGGCGTCAAAGCCTTACAATTTTCAAGTCATGGAACACTGAAATAACATGCAGCGCCATTTCATGACAAGACACCTTTTTCAATCTCATCATGCCAGACAGAAACCTCAGTAATCTTTGGAATGCGTTAACATAGCAAACAATTCATATATATCATATTTTAGCGTTAATATAAGTAGATGGCGGTTACACTCCACAGAAGATACATCCATATTAAAAAAAATCAAATGAATTTTCCAAAAATGATCAAATGCCATGCTGCCGTGTTAAATGTTTAAATGACACAATTAATTTTTCAATAACTCAGATGATTGCCAATGTACTATTTTTTCCCCATTTTCGCACTTTTCTTGATTTTACCATTCGTGCTTAGAGTATCATTTTGAATGTCTTTGCACGTGGTACTCTAAAAACAAACAAATAAATAAACAGTTAAGTGAATAAAAAGATATGCTTGCTAGTGCGTCTACCAGCGGACTGCTTACTCATGTTTATCTGGAGAGAACTGGTTGTTTTAGAGTCATAGGAGTGTTTGTGCGCAACATACAAGCTGAACTATATATTACACGGAGAAATGGAACAGGCGCACGCAAAAAGGCAGTAGCCACGTGGGTTAATATGGAGAGATCAAAGTTCTTGACACAAAAAGACCACTGTTTTTAACACCCAGACCTGCTTTTTCATTATAGGGTACTAAATGCTCTAATTCATACTTATTGACTTTGCCTTTCTTGTCTCATGAGAGTCTCATCCTTTTTTTTGGTTTGCTTTAAAAAGGAACAGCGACGCTTAATACTTATGACAGTTGACTTTGTTTAAAAAAAAGAAGAAATGAATAAATTCCGTTGCTAGGCAACAAAGAGTGGTCAACCACAATGTGTGTGGTCACCTTGTAAGACCACTGTCCTAGCGCGAGAAGAATTCACCTGTGTGAAAATTATTTCCATGGTTGTATAAAACACAGAGGAAGAGGAGGTGGAAATACACCATAAGGTTATACGTACCTCTTATCAGAGATACACGTTCTGATAACAAATATGATTTATACATAGCTGCGTCCCTTCTGGGTTTAATATGCCATCAGGTATACTAAACCATATATAAAAGGTCACAAGACTGTAGCTATTACACACTATGTTGGAAATAGAGTGGCTTTAAATTCAACGATTGCTATATAATGATACTTATATGTGTCACAGATCTGTGCTCAAACAACCCACTTTGTGTTATTACTATACAGAAATGAGAGAGAGAATTTAAGAATGAAATATAAGACAATTGCTGGTAGCTTGATGAAGAGACATTCATTTAAACCATAAGAGTGAGAGTGTCGCATATTATATAGACCAGAAATTATATCGTAGAGCCCATGAGATTGGCAGGCGAGGGATTTTTTCGACAAGTAACGGCTACAAATTTATATTAAAAGTGTATCAACTTGTTATGATAAAGATTGAGAAAGCTACTAATTCAAGAAAGGCAATAAATTGTTTTCTTTTGGTAATAATGCACTGTATTGCTTATCTTAAAACTTATATGATCAGCCTCCTAATTAAGAAATATAAATAAATAAATTATAAATATATTATTCATTATTCGGTAAATAATTCACACCCTAAAACCATTTCTGACAACATTTGCCGCATCAACACCAAAATCTGAGGTGATAAACCTAGAGAGCAAATTATGGTAATCAGAATTACAAATATTAACATCATTATCTCTTAACCCCGGTGTTATCAGCGATCCTTGGGTGTGACACACTTCAATCTGCGCTACTAGGATCTACTGTGCAAACAGATTGTTTACATAGAGCTGGTACTATCCATTTATACTGTATTAATATTATTAATACTATACTATATATAATAATATTATTTCATTTTCAATTTTTAAATAATGCTATGGTTTTTCCAAATACACAGTGGCTAATGTTATCCTCCGCAGCGTTTAATTGTGTTAAATGTTAGAAGAGTTGGGCGTGGCGTGTTTTGGTAATACCGTGTGCTATACAAGTTTAATACCGATTTATCTTGTTGACAAATTACGAATGCTATCATAATCTGTACTTGCGTTGAGAGACAGAGTACACAGGGCGTGGTCGTCATCCTCAATATTTAGATAAACTCAACACCGATACGTGTTTTATACTTGACTTCAATCAGACAAAGGATATATGTTGGACTGAAAAGATTGAACTCGATACATCATTTGACGTCTTTTTTATTCAACAATATTTTTGCGATTATCATTTTAATCTTGTTTTCTGATGACTCCATCATGTCGTTACAAAGGTTGTGCGGGTGAAAAGAGATAAGACATCTGTGTAGGGTGCTCCACCTTGTTATGTTTAAGTCAGTAGGGTTATACCTCCGCGGTCATTTAAGGCAAGAGTGACAATATTTGGGGAATATTCATTTTATAATAACAGAGGTAAATGAAGAAGGGGCATGCTCTTCTGAGTCCAGTGCTATATAAAAGTTACCTCGTAAACATCGGATATTGATATAAATAAGAATATATATTACATTAAAGAAAGGGTGTGTTTTTGTAATAAATTTAAGCGAAATTTTAATTTAAGTTTTTCCTTTCATTTATTTTCTTTATTTACCTTAAATTATTTACAGAAAGCATGGTCTCGTTCGTCTCCAGTCATTACCAACTCAAACTTGTATTTATCAAGTTTATCTAAACTATCGGTGGGTGAGACTTCATATTTCAAAATTGGAGGAGTAAATGTCTTGTAAATACATGTAATACTCTCAGTATGAATCACGGACGTAGACGGTTGTCTACCTACACAAAACATGTTTGAAAAACTATAATATATTATATATGATAAAACAATGATACAATGATATCCTTCGCGTTTAAGGAGTTTGTAAGAGCCTTAAATGATGCTACGCATGTGCATTGATATTCTTCGATGCAGTATTTTTTAAATTTTCAATTAATTTATTTTATTGTCTTTTTTTTTTGGGGGGGGGGGTCGGCTGACTCGAAATTAAGAGAATTAAAGTTAGGTTCACGTTCACTGTCACATGACGAGGACCAAGGTTATGTTTTCTTAACCTTACAGTTACAGGGCACACCTTAAGATATCTAACAGTGACTCACGCTCAGAAGTACCTATCGGGGATGGAGGGAGTTTATTTAATCAAACATGGGCAGTGATGACACGCCTATCCATGCTTGGTTGACACACCCAACACACTGAGAGTTACAGTCAGTGTCAACAGCGTGGATATTCTCATGGTCAGTGTGTCACGCCCTCGGTTAATTGGGGGGGTGACAATGTCAGATTCTGACACACGGGAGATGACAGTGACATGTCAACACTGTCAAGTGGTGACACACGGAGCTGGTGACACGCCCGATGAATCAAAGACATTTGGTACCTGTGACTAGTCATCATTGGGGCGGTGGGTGATGGCCTGGGAGCAGGGGGGCTACACCCAGGTGGTTAGGAAAATACATCAAAAATAATCCCCTTTGTTAGGGTCCGTATCTACTAGCAATCCAAATAGTAAAATCAAGCGTGTCACGCTCAAAAGGCCATCGAAAGGGTACTATATGATAGATGTTGCTATGACAACGACAGTTTGCATTCATATCGTCCTAAAGACTGACATTATTAACCCTGAATTCCAAAGACTGTAAGCAACTGGCCTTTCTCAGCAACTTAACTCACTCATAATGTTCTATGACAAACTTTTTGTGGTCTCTGGGTAAGTTTTCTTTTTTAAAAAAAGACCAAGAAAAACCTTAACAGTAGATTTAAGTAAAGATGGACTGGATGTCTCCAATATGCTAAGGAAACGTCATCATTTTGAACTGTTTTGCATTATGCCACATTTTGTACTACATAAACCTTACGATAAGATAACAAGACGTATATTTAGTGGCTTTCAAAGCTGAGGGCCTTCGAATTCTCACGAATCTGCATTCGTCATGTCATGTTATTAAATGATACATTGTCGATGGCGACATTTCTATATACAATCTTAACTTTTCCCAAAACAAACCAACTAACTGACTGTTTTTATGTTCATTGCACTTGAGATCAAATTTGTATAAACAAACATGAAGCATAACATCAGGTTGGAGTCTTCTTGGAAGACAGAGCGATTCAGGGGAGAGAGAGAGAGAGAGAGAGAGAAGTTGGGGACAAAAACATAATATTATCAGGAAAAATTTCATCTTTTCATATTAAAGAGCCACACACCTCAGTCGTCTGTTCTCAAGTACACATACATATAATTTACTCGGGGACTCCTTAAACGCAGGTGTCACGAAAATGAACCATTTATTATGCATTTATTATGCTGGTGGTTAGGGCAAACAATCGTCTTCTATTTTAAAAGGAAGAACCACTAAAGATGGCCACGTGGTAGAGGCTAACCCCACCCTGACATTTGTTTGTGACTGAATCATTGTAAGGTAACTAGAGTTTGTTTAAGTAAAAAAAGTAAATTGTTGAGCAGAAAACGATGTTACAACTAAATAGAATTCTAAACCCAAGACTGTCGTCACTCTCTTTAAAAGGAATCATCCCTGGACTACTTTAATAAAACCCTGTCTCTTGCTGTTGTTTCTTGATGTAACAACACCCCTCCCCGAACTGTAAATACGCCCTACGTGTTTTGGGTCCTCCTGGCTATCGGTATCGGTCACCTACCCTCTACCAGGGCGACAGATTGATTTTTCAAAGACATTCACAGATAGGTCTCTAGATAAATAGACAGTCATTTTGGTCTGATGTCGATTCAGCAAAAAATGTCCACAATAATAACTGAGACGCTGGTAGAGGGTATCAGTCACCCACTTGAGCAGAAATATTCCTACACTTTCCTAACCTCGGCAGGTATGCTGAAATTTTAATGGTGCACGCGCGCGCGCGCGTGTGTGTGTTTGCGTGTGTGTGTGTAAGGTGGGGGTCAGAAGCGGTAACCATTCAGAAAAAATATACACATGGCAACCTGGAAGGGTACCCTTTAGTCCCCTTCTTTCTGCAATCACGACTCAATTGAAAACAGTGAGGTGGGGTTTACCCCCCCCCCCCCCCC